ATCCGGGTTGGCTGTACCAGGTAGACGCGGCATGTTAGAGGGCCCCCTGTTGGAGCCTCCCGAGCACCTCCTTGATGAGCAGCGGCTGCACCGATCACAGCCGCCGCCGCGGCTGGCCGCGTGCAGGTGGCAGCGGGGGTCAAGGGGCCGTTCGTGGTGGCATCAGAGAGGCCCGGGGGGCACTGGCCTAGTCCGCCCCTATATGACCTGTATTGTAATAATGAGGAAAGGTCATTTAGCAGAATGCGAACTAGCTCCTTCATAGAGATCTGTCTAGTTCCCATCCCTCTATATGACCTGTATGGTCATAATGAAGAAAGTTAATTTAGCGGGATAGGAACTAGCTCCTCAGTTACCGACTTACCTGCTTTGCGACCACTCGCACTTACGACGGACCGCTGATCGACCTCCGACCTTGCGCGACGTGTCGGCGGCGGAAGTCATGTCCTCCGATCTTCACTGCGGGTCCCGGTAAGTATTTTCATTGCCCGATGTACAGTACACTGTTTGGTACTGTACATCTGCAATGCTATAGAGTTCTGTCGTAGGAACGGAACTCGGTCGTTAAGTGAGGAATACCTGTACTGTCCTCATGAAAGTACTAGTAATACAATGCCATTATAGAATATAGTTGAACTTGAAAGTTACTGTACTATATGGCATTGTATTACTAGTATTTTCATGAGGGAAGTCATTAAAAGAGCCTTCTATCATGTGTTTGGGCCCCTTTTGCAGCACTTACTGCAATTACTTTTGCACGATATTCTAATTATTCGAGTTTCACCTGTATATATGTGGGGGGGGAGGTGTACAAGGAACATGAGGGCATGCTGGGACTTGTAGTTCCCTGGGTGATGTGGAGGGGTGTACAGGGACAATGAAGGCATGCTGGTTGTAGTTCAACTACAGGTCCCAGTGTGCCTTTATTGTTATACCCCATTCTCTCATGTTCTGGGGTGGGAGGGGTTGTGGCTGTGCCATTCATTTCAATGGCACCAGAAGCACGCCTCCCACCCGCAGTGCGATCAACTGCACTGGAACGCATGGTACTACAATGCCCTGCATTCCAGTGAGGTGTGATTGCATGCACTATTTTTTTGCAATCGCACTGCACTGGAATGCAGGAAATTGCAGTACCACGTGTTCCAGTGAAGTCGATCGCACTGCGGACGGGAGGCGTGCTTGTGGTGCCATTGACATTAATAGCAATGCTACACCCCTTCCCACCCCAGAACGCGGGGAGGGTAGGATTAAGCAGGCCAGTGTTTTCATGCCATGGGACTGTGAGATAAACGCACTGGATGGTGCTCTTCTTTTGATTCCTTCCCTCGATTTTCTACAGACAATTCACGATTTTCCCTGTGACTCTACAGACAATCAAAGGCAGAAACTTGAATGGCGGACACACGACTGCATGGAGAGTGAGCGCTGATAATGTAGATCGGACAAAGCTGTTTATATTCTCACTGCCATCAGTGTCGGCACTAGTGCAAGGCAGCATAGGCAGCCATCTGAAGGCGCCTGTCGGTGTGTATGGGGGGGAGGGGGGGTGTAAAAATGCACCTTCGTCTGTGTAGGCAAAAATCCTTGCAGCGGCCCTGATGGCAATAATGAAAAAAGGTAATATAGCAGGATGGGACTAGCTCCTTCATAGGGAACTGTCTCGTTCCGATCCCTCTATATGACCAGTATGGTAATAATACAGAAAGGTCATTTAGCAGGATGGGAACTATCTCCTTCATAGTGATCTGCCTAGTTCCCATCCCTCTGTACGACCTGTATGGTAATAATGAAGAAAGGTAATTTAGCGGGATGTGATCTAGCTCCTTCATAGTGAACTCTCTAGTTCCCATCCCTTTATATGACCTGTATGGTATCACAGTGATCTGTCTAGTTCCCATCCCTCTATATGACCTGTATAGTAATCATGGTGAAAGGTCATTTAGTAGGATGGGAACTAGCTCCCCTATAGTGATCTGTCTTGTTCCCATCCCTTTATATGACCTGTATGGTAATAATGCAGAAAGGTAATTTAGCAGGATGGGAATTAGCTCTTTCAAAGTTATGTCTAGTTCCCATCCCTCTATATGACCTGTGTGGTAATAATTAGGGATGCACCGATACAAGCATTTTTCTGCATACCTGGCTGTATATTACATTTAATGTATAATATACAGCCAGGTATACAGAATTAGATATAACTGTGCCACACTACAGGTGTGGGCTGGGCACAGGATGGCATAAAAAAAGTTATATCTGCCCCTTTAAGGAAAAGTATTGGTATCGGTGAGTACTAAAAAAAAGTATCGGTACTCAGACCCAAAAAAGTGGCATCGGTGCATCCCTAGTAATAATGAAGAAAGGTAATTTAGCAGGATGTGAACTAGCTCCCCCATAGTGATCTGTCTAGTTCCCATCCCTCTATATGACCTGTATGGTAATAATGAAGAAAGGTAATTTAGCAGGATGTGAACCTAGCTCCTTCATAGTGAACTGTCTAGTTCCCATCCTTATACATGACCTGGCCATTAGGGGGCAAAAGGTTATTCTGTGGGATGGGATCTAGCCAGTTCACACAACAAGCTAGATCCCATCCTCAGAATTGACTAGGTGAATCTGCAGGATGGAAATAGGAATGGTGTTGTCGAATTCTGTTCCCCCGTCGATGTGTTTTACCTTAGCCGCTCGGCTATTTCCATAACCGCTCCTCCTCCCTACAGCAGCATCGGCATCTCCATAGCACCGCCTCTCTCGAAGCTCCGGTTGTATGTTAGAGATGACAGTCGGTTGTGTGCGATGTGATCGCTGAATTCTGCACGATCGTCTGTCCCTCACATCCCTTCCCAGTCTTTCGATCTGCTCTATGTCCTCTTCTTTTTTCCATAGGATAAAACAGGATTCAAAATAAACATATTTTTATTTATCTGTATATGTGTGTGAATGAGAACCTTCCCAGACACAAATGTGTATAGAGTTTTCTAATTTTCTGGTCATATAAATTCCATACCGCTCATCATAATCCGCTCATCATAGTCCGCACTGCTCATGATAGTCCTCACTGATCATCATAATCCGCTCATCATAGTCCGCACTGATCATCATAACTCCCACTGATAGGGGCGTGTCCAGGACATGACCAGGTGCGGACGTGTTTGTTAGAGCTCCGTGCACACCACCCGCAATGCTGACATCCCGGACTCAGACCGAAGCATAAGCCCAAATCCTTAAACATGAGCACGAACAAGAAAAACATGCGAAGCGGGGTTTCTAAAACTTCTGCAGACATTAAAAAGTACATGGCCTCGGATCGATCGAGCTTGAATGCGTTGACTATGGCACGACTCAGGCCGGCTCACAAGCCGCATACTCACCGCATTCCTCTCAACGGAGACCGGACCCGGAGACATCGTATCTCCGCTCAGAGCCGGGTGATGAGCCGGAGCATAGGAACGGAGTATCAATGGACGAACTAATGCGTATCCTCCCCACTAAACAAGACCTAGCAGACATGCTCCGCACTCTCGAAAGCTCTCTGAAAGCTGAGATACTGTCGCTCAGATGTGAGGTCAAACACCTCCTCCACAGAGTGGAAGAAACTGAGAGCCATTTGGATACACTCGCTGCTGACATAACAACCCTGCAAACCCAGTTCCAAACTGCAGCTAGGATACAGAGGGACCTCGCATATCGCTTGGAAGAGCAGGACAATCTGGGTCCCCGTAACAACCTACGGGTAAGAGGACTCCCTGAGGCGATAGCGGACGTAGACTTGGCGGCCACCTTGAGGGGTATCTTTAACTCTATAATGGGCAGGACTTCTTCCACACCGCTCCTACTCGATAGGGTACATAGAATTCCCCGCCCGCGGGGCATGCAGTCTGAAACGCCTAGAGACGTGATATGCCGATTGCACTATCATACGGATAAAGAAATAATCTTGATAAAATTGCGAGAGACACTGCATATAGAACACAATGGGGCCCATTTACAAATTTTCTCTGACCTGGCTAAGGAGACTCTTACTAGACGTAGGGCCCTACGCCCGCTGATGGACCTTCTTCGTTCCAAAGACATCAATACCGATGGGGCTTCCCGGCCTGTTTAATCGCCAAGAGACAAGGCAAGACATAATTCCTCCGCTTTCCAGAAGAGCTGGAGGCCTTTTGTGAAAGCCTGCAGGTCAAGGCTCTGAAGCTACCTGATTGGAACGACATGCTACAAACCTTACCACCGCTGCAAGATCGGCAATGGAGGTCAGTAGGCGCCACTTTACCGTTGGCTCAACAAGAAAATTGAAAGCTGAGCATGTAGTAAAAAGACCCTGGCAAATGTATACGGCCCAAACCACAATCTCAGATTTTGTACTTAAATCAAATAATAAATTCCCTGATGGATTTCC